GCAGGCGCAGCAGGCCTCGTTGGCAGTCATGCCGCTGTAGGCCCGCAGCATGGAATCCGAGTCACTCGAAGAGGAGTCGTTGGAGCCGTTGCCGACTGACAGGAGCATCTGCCCCTTGTGGCAGACGCCGATTGTCTCATACTGGTGGCAGGTCTCAGGTGCTGAGAATGGAAGGTTTTCGCACAGTTGGCAAGTGGTCTGGTTGGTGCCAGGGTGTATGAAGGGGCTGAAGCCCGTAGCACATTCATTGCATGAGTCGCTTGCTGGGTTGTACTCGACGCAGCCGGCGCAGGACAGACTGGCAGTCGGGCAACACTGCTGGAAAACTTTCCCGTCCCGGAAGTTGTTGAGAAGGAGCTCTTGGCACTGCAATGGAGCATCGCTAGCCACGAACTCAAGCTTTGCATGCTTGGCCGTTGCATGCATGTACGAGATCTTCGACGGAATTGCGTGCGTTAGCGGAGCCGCTAAGAGTGCCAGCTCGGGCTTGCACTGCTTTGGCTCCTGGGCGTGCAGGGCTATGAGGTTAACAGGGCAGACAGGGTCCAAAACGAAGACAAGTTTCCGAGTTCCTGAGCATGTCGTTCCATGTCTTGCACGGGCTCGTTTCCCCTCCGTGCAGCCCGCAACATAACATGATCTGCAGTCAAGTGTCTACGGAAGGCAGCGTGCGTGAGGCCCACCACGGCAAGGAAGAGTTGCCTGCACCACCTGCTTGTGGCAGAGCATCAGCTGATTCGGCCGCCTCCTCCACCAAAGCTTTCGAGCCCTGCAACCTGTGCTGCAGCACGCTGGAGCTTTGGGCTGGGCAGTCATCGGCAAGCGCAAGAGCTGCAAGGACACAGCAGCAAAACAACAGCGCGGAGCGCTGCAACATCAGCGGTAAATCTCAGAATCTGGGTGGCGACAGCCACGCAACGCGGTATAGACTTTGAGACGCACAGGCGCTGCGGTCGAACCATTCACATGTCGCTGCTGCTGCGCATGAAAAATGTACCGTTAACATACATGGAACCTTGCACGGCGGCGTGCAAAGACATGTCTCAAGATTTTGCAGATTTTTCTTCCACCGCATCAAAGCACTGGAGGACTTTTAAAGGCACTGTAGTATCTTTACGGATCTCTGGGAGGAAGTTTCTACAGTTGCCCAAATTGGCACCTCATCTTGCCGTTTAGCAGCATGTCTGTGCTGCCGCCCACCCAATTGTGAATCGCACTGATCAAAGTCGCCTGGTTCAAGTTTGTTGGCTCAAGGTTGCTATCTCATCGAAAGGCAGCGCTTCATCGCACACACCACATGTCTTGGTGGCTACCCATTCGACTCAAGCTTGATCAGACGCACTCCACACAAAGCCTGTGAACTTTGCACAGAGTCATTCACTCAAGGTCTCACTTCCAGGCACAAGAGCTTCAGAACAACAGGCGCCGAGTCGCTGCAGTTTGTCCTCACCCAAGGCGCGCATTTTCGGGCCGTGCAGGGATAAACGGAGCACAGCATGGCACAGCCCTCTTGAGTCTTGGACCAGCCAAGGCAACTTGCTCTTGGTGGCGCTGCTGACATGCCCTTCTCCGGAAGGGAGCGGCAGCAGTTGTAAGTCCTGAGCAAGTCGGGAAGGATAGCGACAAGCGTGACCTGGCATGCATCCGAGACGTCACTCCTCTGAATCTGCAAAGACTTCTGAGGCGACGAGGCCTGAGAAGGGCCGACAAAGCGTGCTTCCTTCTGGTGGGTTTGCCGGTGCGTCACAGCAGCTCTGAATGAGAGTCCGACACTGTAATATATCCGGATCGATCTCTTTGCCCATGAGCATCAGCGAATCAGTGCTACGTCTTTCGCAGAGATATTGCTTGCATGAGCATATCCCGTTGAGTCACCTATGTGCATGCATCGGATTGCTTGGTCAGCATAACATAGCCTTTTCCGCAGCAATCGTCTCGGTATGCCCAGATTGGGCACTCCGGTACATGGCATGAATTGTATCCACCACCTGGCACAGGCAGAGCACACCAAGAGATCGACGACCCAGTGGCTTTGCAATGGCCACGAGTGGACACCAGCACAACTGCAACACTCTACAGTTCCGGTACTTCTATGTCCGTGCGCCAGGTTGACGTGCAACGTGGCAGGTGACACTAATCTCAACCAATGGTGCAATGCATGCTGTCCAGCAGACTGGTCACGCAAGGGAGGCCACCGACAGAGAAGTTGCGAAGACGTTGCAGAGATACTTTCTCATAGCCATTCACTGACGCGCTCGTTTGGGCTGCATATCATGCCCGTGGACTGTGCCATGCGTCATGCCCCAACAGACCTTAAGAGTATTGATCTTCTCCGCAGGCAGTCTTGAACAGTCAATACAATCACGGGGAGTTGTAGAAGAGGATACCGAAACTGAAATTTGTGCTGTCAGCAAATCCAACAAAAGATCAGAGCAGCGCATGGCAGTGCAAGCCTTCTTTCTCAAGAGGACATCTGCGGCATTCGTGAACTGCTCACCAAGACCTAAAAGCAGACCAGTCTTCACCAAGTGACTGCACAGCAACATGACATTTTCGGACCAGATTTCCCGAGTGACCGGCAACCATGGATAAAAGCGTGGAGTGATTCTGGCCCATCTCCCTCCGAGTCGTGGTTTTCGAAGTAGAAACCTGACAGATGGTGAAACCATGCGAAAGTGTCAATGCAGCAAGCTCGTTCTTGGGCAGTAAGACAGAAGAAACCGTCAGCCTTGCAGAAACATTCCTGGCCTGGGACCTGGTGCTCGCTTCCATCATGTAGCTGAACCTTCAGCCCACCGGAGGACGGATGCATGTCCTTCCCAGAAAGCAGGAGACTTCTCCCACAGAGTCGCAGGAACAGGCCACAGACCGCCCGTCCTCCCCGCTGTAGGTCACCACTCCGTCAGAGCCGAAGATCTTTAGATCGATTTGCTTGGTTGAGCTCGCACAGGACCTTAAGGAAAACAGAAAGCCATCTAGGACCTAGACAGTGGGTACTTTTAGAAGGCACTAACTCTTGGCTGGGTTTGGATGCCTCTGACATTTGATCCAGCACCCTCGTTGACGCGGGTCATGGCGGCCAACTGCACCATGCCCCTTTGGCAATCATCTTCGGGACGCCCGTCAGGAACAATAGCAGGGAATGAACGAATGTGCTCATTAGAGTAGCGCTGG